TTAGTTGCCATTGAATGGAATAAACTTTGAGCGAGACTATGATTGTATAATTTGGATAAGCATGACCAGTTATTTTTGCTAAATTCCAAGAAGATTATAAGAAAAGCAAACATGTAAGGCATAATTAACACTCATCCTTACGATTCATACTCAAAAGTGAGTCCAAGAATTGATGCATGGATATTTTACGCATGTTTTATAACTATCTGCAAATGCTTGTACTCAGAAGTTCAGAGTAAATTTTCTATTGCCTTGATATCGTCACCAATATTTATTTTCAAGGCAAGGATAAATTTAGATTGCTAATGTAACTACTCCTGCACTTAAATTAAAACTATGTCTCAATCTATTATAACTTATTATCACTATCATTAGGAAATAGTATGCAACCTTTCCTTCGGAATTAAGTGCCCGAAACAAAATTTTTCTTTCCTCTAGGTGGATTAAATGTACTGATCATGTAAAATTGTTGCTCAAGTAAATCTTTGCATGCAAAAGGAAACAAAGCAACCACATACTCTGAAAGAAGTGGTAAATAATATTAACCACCTTTCTGGATAAATGAACTAATGATTTCTCTGCTATCAAACTTAGCATACATAAGGCATGTATAATATCAGGCTAGCACGTACTGGACAAAGTAATATCTTTAGGAATAGCGATAAACATCATCCAAGGTAGTTGCCTGACGACTAATTGCTCGCACACCTCATTGCCTCCATGATGGTCAGTAGCAGCATGCAAACAATCATTTGATCAAGCTTTTGTGAGTCATGTGTTGGCCGCCCAGTACTGAAATTCAAACATAGCAAACGGAAAAACCTTATGTGCAGAGAATCGACAGCGGCTCACCTTGGCTCTTGTTGAGTGTCGAGGAAGAGAGGTGCCCATGGCGCATCGGTAACCATCAGAGTTGGTATATCAATAGACAAATACCATATTCTTTTGTAAATAACCATCATCAATTGCCAAACATCTACACAATTTTATCTGGTAGAATAAAATAACTCCGCATCAATTCTAGGTGCAGAGCATTTATCTAGCAGTGCCATTGTCTCTTGTCCTGTATATATCATCTTTCACAACCATGCTTTAGAAATACACCTTATTATTTAAATACTAAATGAGGACTGCTCTTTTTTGTAATGCATAGAAGTTGGAAGAATGTTACCAAAAGGATATCACATGAGAAGCTATTCCAGGTAAATAAGCCACAACATGATACTTATGATAATATGGTTTGCAAGAAACTATCAGCGTCATGAACTCTAGCTTATCCACAGAACTAATAAACTAACCAGTATACTGTTGTTGCGCTCAATGTCTGATTATTAATTGTCATGGCTGGTCCATAATAGTCTCTTGCAAACCATGCTTAATAAATTATAAGCACTTTAGATTCCAACAACAAAAAACATTATAGACCTCTCAATAAAAAAGTGAGAAAATGATTAATTAATATGGCAGAAAATTAGGATGAACAAAACACATTTGCAGAAGATACTGCAACTAATGATTGAGATGTGTACATACATTACACATTGCTTGAGGAGTACTAACAACCAAAGGATAATTTCAAAAACAATTTTTCTCACAATTATCAGGCTAACAGTTAAGTGCATCCTTGTATTTTTGGCGCAACAATCAACATATTTTTATAGTGCATATATATTGGGAAACAGTAGGGTCATTTTTTCTATCTTTATCGTCTTACCAATTGTTTGAACCAAATTCTAAAAAATTCTTCTGTTGGAATTGAAGGATTGGAACTTTAGCAATTCAGCAAACCCCTGAAGTGCATTGCATAGCATCAGAAATAAGGAGGAACCAAAGCAAAAAAGAAAGGATCTGAACTGGACAGAGAAAGTGAACTTTTGCATAAGTATATGTTGGCTGGATATACTAATAGAGCGCTTCACGACGCTTTCAGAGTTCGATCACAGTCCAGCTCCGGCAGACTGCACGGTATGTGCATGAAGACATGGTGTGTATTTCCAGTCGTGCTAGTTAAACTGACATATTGCGCTGCAGACTCATACTGTCCTTCGTTTGCTGCATTACCGAGTAGAGATTAGCAGCAGCAAGGTGAGCGCCCAAAATGAAAATAGTGTCCAAATGTGAATCAAAGTTTACTTTTCGGAATTTAAGTCAACCCTAATTACTTTTCGGAATTTAAGTCAACCCTAAAGTGAGTCGTATCCAATTTTGAATGAGGGTGAGAGGGAGTAGGGGTGGGATGGGATGCGGGCCATAGCCAGCTGAGGAAGACTGTCGGGCCATGGAGGCGGTAGACATCCCTGTCTAGCACCAACGAACCGCAGTGCGGCCCACAGCGAGGGTCTTGTTGGCCTCCTGCAGCTCCCAGCATCGCCTTCTCCAGGCCCTATGCGTCGCCACCACCGGAGATGAGAGAGACGGAGAATACGATAAACAATTTATCAAACACCTAGTAGGCAGATTTTGCACTTTGATCTTTTGTCCTTTTTTCCTAAAAATAATCACTTCAATTGCAATTGGAAATATATGCGCAAAACCAGTGACCAAATTATCATTTGTACACGTTTGACTGAAGAAATGAGCAGGTCACCTGAGATTTCCCAAATTCCCAATCTGCCTCATGAACCACGTTTCCTCCCCGTTGGCTAGGCACTCCCAGGCGCCGCTGCCCCGGCTGCTCCCCGCAGGCGCAGCCATGCTATTCCCCACCGTAAACCCTTGTTGTTTCTTGATATTGCACCCCACCATTGCACCTTGCCGCGGAGCACCGCAATTCATCTCAAATTTGTGGTCTGCGTCATCAACAATCAATCAAGCATCAACATCTCTAAATACCAGTAGCAAGCAAGAATAACAGAAGCAACAACGGCACGCAAGGTAATGAGCCAGCAGTAGCTGACCAGGCCAGCCACTTCCTTGAGGCAGCGCATGAGCAGCACGCAACAGCGATGACACACGCGCACGAGCATCGGCAGTGCACGGAGGGCGCGGTTGCGCACGGAGGAATACAACAGCGACCATCTCCGGCGCGCGGTGGCCGGCGTCAGCACTTGACCGCAGCGCACAGAGCAGCGGCGGCTCGCTCGTAACATTAACCCTAGGTGGTTGGGGGAGGGGGAGAGAGAGGACTCACCGTGGGATCCGGAGGTGGCCGCCGCCGTCGAGGACCACCAGGGCACCGTCGTCGACCATTGAAGCCCTCACCACCTCCTCCAAATCGGTTCCCCTCAGCAAAGCACCGATGGTCTGACTTACTTCCCGAAATCGAAACCAGCCGGCCAACGCTAGGCGCCGGCGCACCGGCCCAAATTTGGGCCAGTCGCGTCCTAGCCGTTTGATTGAACCCCGCACAGCTGTTGATGGGCATCGTTTCCCATCGTCTTTTTCACATCGCGATTGAAAACTGAATAAAAAAAGGAGGGAGACATGACGGCACCTCCGCACCCCCTCCGCATCGCGCAGCGCACGTCCGTCGCCGACGCTCGCCCCTTGTCGGTGCTGCCCATCCCCTCATCCCTCTCCCTCAACCCACCTCCAGAATCAATGGCGGACGCCGTGGTTCGCATCCAAAAACAGCGGTGGTAGCAAAAAAATAGGCTGCTTCCAGCAAAACTAGATAACGCTGGTAGCAAAAATTGAAAAAATGGACATTGTTCCAGCAAAAATACGGTGGTAGCAAAAGATGAAGCTCGTTCCAGCAAACCAAGAGGTTGGTGGTAGCGAACTTGCAAAAAATGGCGTTGTTCCAACAAAACCAAAAAACCGATGGTAGCAAAAAATGTGGATGGTTCCAGCAAAAAAATATTATAATTGTAGCAAAAATGAAAATTGGGCTTGGATCCAACAAAACCAAAGCATCGATGGTAGCAAAAAATGTTGATGCTTCCAGCAAAAACATATTACCGTGGTAGCAAAAAATAAAAATTGGGTGATGGTTCCATCAAATCAAAACGCCTATAGTAGCACAATTAGGCTCCCACCCGTGGTCGATTGCAGCTCCCGGCGAGGCAGGTTGCAGCTCCAGGCGAGGCCGATTGTAGTTGTTCCCATCCACCAGCTGCAGCTCCCCGGCGTGCTTCCTCCTCCATCCATAGTCGACCCGTGCCCATCACACGGGGGCGTCGGGGAGCAAGAAGGGGAGGGCCGACGACCTCCTAGTCAGAGAGAGGTCAAGAGAGGAGCAGGGATGCCTCTCCGGTGGTGGGCTCGCTGGAGAAATCGCCGCATTGGCTGGAGCCAAGCAAGAGAGGCGAGCAGGGGATGAATATGCTTGAGATGCAGAGGCACATGGAGGAGAGGCGAGCGGAGGATGAGAGGATAAGGCAGATACGTGTGGCTGAGAGAATAGGACGGGTGCATGCGGGCCCTTTTGGCCGCGTGGCGCTTATGTGTCGCTCGTGACCGGCCGAGCGTTCGGCCGGCGCGCCGAACCCAAACACTTACCAAACCAGCCATACTCTCTCGCGGCGTGAGGATTTTGACCAGAGGGGGAACGTCGGTTGCGTGCAGTGGAAGGGACGAAGGGGGTCTACATAGAGGCCTGGCCATGACATGCGGGGCCCATAACAAAAAAAAACACAAGATCGCTCTCAGGCGTCTATTTCGTGGGAGCTTAGTAACTGTACTGATTGGTTTTTACTATTTACTCGGGCTGCGGCACCGCCATCAACCCTAGTGCATTTCTATCTAAAATTAAAGTAGTTGAACCCTTTGCGTGAAAAGTGAAGTTGGACCATTTTGACGCACAACAAAATCTTCAATTTCAATTTCATCAAGAAAGTGGCAAACTTTTTATTACGCAAGGAGACGCCATGACGATTAACAACAATGGTAGGAAAGGAAAACAGTACCAGTGCAAACAAAACACACATACGTGCAGGCAGGCCAGTGGACTTGCACTTGTAAACCCCTGCAGCCACAGAAAAAGCAAATTGCGAGGAACACAGGAACAAGGCATGCATCAGCGCATTCTCAGGTCCAAGCTCGCACTCGATCGCCGTCGATCAGTACCGCGCGTCGCCCGTCCGGCTCTGCTGGTAGTCGCTGTGCTCGCCGTACTGGCTGCGCTGGTAGTTGCTGCCGCCGTCGCTCGCGTCGGCGTACTGGTCGCGCTGGTAGTTGTGGCTGTCGCTGCTGCCGTCGCGCGCCTCGCCGGACCGCGGCTGCTGCTGGTTCTTCGCGGCAGCGGCGTCGGCGCCGGCGCTGTTGGACGTGGGCGGGCGCTGCAGGCTCTTGACGTAGGTCCAGGCCTCCCGCTGCGAGACCTTGTCCCACCAGCGGCTGACGTTCTTGCGGCGCTGGAACATGCGGCGGGAGCGCGGGTCGGCGGCGAGGCGGTCGGCGTTGGGCAGGTGCGACAGGTCGGCGATGGTGAACTTGTCGCCGGCCAGGTACTCCGCCTCCTCCAGGCGCCGCTCGTAGATGTCCAGCAGCTTCTCCAGCTCCCTCTGGCTCTTCTCGAACAGCTTCCGCATCTCCTCCTCCTTGGCCGCCCCCGCCGCCGTCACGCGCTTCGCCGACGCGTTCACCACGGCCCTGGTGCCATTACTGCCAACGCCGTTGCCGTCGCCGTCGCCGTCGCCGTTGTTGGGCTTCTGCGGCATGGCGGGCGGCAGGAAGGCGAGGCTGTAGACCATCTGGGCGCTGGGGTCGTCGAAGCTCTGCGCCTCGGTATGCAGCCACTGCTCGATGGACGCGCGCTCCAGCGCCCCCGTGCCGATCAGGTCCGGGTTGCCCTGCATGGCGTACTTGTGCGAGATGTGCCGCAGGATGCCCCGCGACTCTGCATGCAGCACACATGGCTACCATCATCAGGAACCATCTTGAACCATGCATCCACCACCATTGCCGACCGCCGCCTAGAGCTTACCGGAGAGGGTGAGGCTGCCGTCCTCGAAGGTGAGCGCCTCGCCGAGGGGCTGGAGCTTGAGGTACTGGGGCATGCGCTTGGGGCCGCGGTAGGCGTCGACGCGGATCAGCTGGAACTCCACGTCCTTCTCGAACAGGCACATGAGCACGCGCGCCACCTCCGCCGACATCGGCGACCCGAACACCTTCACGCTCGCCATTGCGCTGCACTCAACCGGAGTGTGAAGCGAAAGCTCGAGACTGTTGGAATGCTGCAAATGTGTGAGCGATGCCTGGTTTGGATCGCTGTCGTGTGCTTATATAGTTGCCAAAGCAAGGGAACAAAATGCCTTGCTTGTCGAAGGGTAAATCTAAAGCCTGGAAAAATCAAAGGGGAAAAAGAGGTAAAGAGCAAAGGGGTTAAGGTGGGTGGGCGCCAAAGGGAAAGGGGAGGGTTATCTATGTCACTCACAAGATTGTCTGGTGTTTCAGTGTGTGTGTGGCACTGCCATGCATGGCAGCATGGATGCATGATTATAGCCAGTAGCCACAAGCAAAAATGAGTGTGGGCATTGAGCAAGATCTGGAGATTTATCATAAGAGATAAAATGTAAAAGCAGAGTTCAAATACATACGGCTTATGTATGAAGATTGGAGTGTAAAGTGCACCCTTTGATCTTACCATACGTGCTAACCTCTTAACAAGCACTAATAGAGATGATGGAAGTACTAGGGGCGGATGAAAATATCACGGTGCCACGTGCATGTAAGATCAGAATATCATGACATGACAGATACAAACCCAGTTAAGCAAGCAAGAGACAAAAGATAAGGACCAGTACCAATATTCATTCAGGGGAAAAGAAAAGAAAATGGACTGCCAATAAAACTTACAGCGTCCTTGCTCATATACCGTGGAGAGATATGTATTACCAATTTACTGATAAAAAAACTAATTCATGTAAGGACTAAACAAAAACAGTTTTGCTAAGTCTCAGTCGACTTAGACTTCGTTATGTCTCAGTCCATACTATATTACTTTGATCTTGCATTAGATTAGTACAAAAAATTCTTTCAGCTTTTCTTTCTTCTTCCTATATGCTATATTACTTGACTGAGACTTGGTTAAGTCTTAGTCGACAAAATGCTCCTAAAACCTTTGGAAATAGTCATCAGAGAGAAACTCATTTCTAATGGATCCACCTAGCGGAGTGGCTATACATCCCCATGCATTTGAGTTATATTTGTGTCTTCTTTTTTATCGTTATTTGACAGCATGTGTATGTTGTGGACATTTGACGGCACAGTTTCTTTGGTGCTTTGTCCGTGATGCTCTGGGGCCCGACTGAGAGGCCCCGGACATGGTCTGGTTATTTGAAACCCGGGCCAACCAGAACGGGAGGAGGAGACAACCATGGGCCATGTCGACCAGGCGCAACAAGATGATTATGGAGCGGGTCTTTCGTAGGCTGGCCCCTGACTCCACCTTCAAATTGCTCGCATTATTGCACCACTGGCACCCGTAATCTAGACAGAGGGGTCACGACCGGCTTGGCTGCATGATGGACGAGATGACTGATAATGCGCGCTAACTTATTCGTCACAGAGCTCCTGAGCTCCAGGACACTTGGTGGTCATTTCCCTTTTTTTCTTTTAAGTTATTTGAGCGTGTTTGTGCTGATGCCCCAGCAGACTCTGTTATTTCCTTTGCTGCAATTGAACTTGTTGTATAGATGTGGTGGTTGCTTTATTTATAAAGGGGAGCGAAAACCTGTTTCGAGAGTGTTGTGAACACCACCAACGGTCTCTCTCTCTCTCTCTCTCTCTCTCTCTCTCTCTCACACACACACACACACACACACACACACACACACACACATGCACGCACGCGCGCGCGCGCACACACACAATTGCGTCGCCAAACCTTTAGTAACGTGCAAAATAATCTTTGAAACAAGTTCATTTGTGTTACAAAAAAGTCAAAATATTTTTCTCTGGGCAGTTTTCAATTTTTTGTTCATGAATGTTCCATTACTTCAGTGACATTTTCAGGAAAGTAATATCTTTTATTCATGCGTAATTAACATGTTATTACGTCACTAAGGATCTTACTCTAGTTATTACGTATAATTAGCACGAAAATCAAAGTCAAATAACATGAATTTTAAAAGGAGGTATAATTAGCATGTTATTATGTCAAATCAAAGTCAAACAACATGAATGTATAATTAGCATGTTATTATGTTACTAAAGATCTTACTCTTGTTTTCTGTGCTATCAATTTTGAAAGGAGGTCCATTTTAATTTGTAAAATGCATGTATTTTTGGCTCTTAAACTAAGACAAAAGGAACAAAAAATCCAATTTTTCTTTGCTACATTCCTTTGAACCAAAGGCTTGAATAATACAACCGTAGAAATTTTTTTATTCCTATGTAATTTCTTCACTTTTCCTTTGAAACACACGAGGACTTGATTGACTAGTATCCCTAGATATGCCATTGGAAGAGTTTGCGCATACTACATGGTCAGTCGTCCAAATAGCATCCAATTATAGCCACCCACAAGTGTTGCAAATATTTTTGGTCATTGGTTGGACGATATTCCAAATAGGGTGAGTACGTTATTACGGATGGAAGTGTATGGCTTATTATGATCGCTTTGGCTATGTAGAAATGGTTTGATTTCTAATAGCATAGACTCTTCTCGTTTGCAGGGTTTTTTCAGTTGTACGCACTCGCTTCTTATGTGGTCTACGCTACACCAAACGGAGTAACAACCGCTATTCAAGGCGGTGAAATATGCGATTGGACTGGGTGGCCAGGGAGGTTATTACCCAACGTGGGAGGCAGTATAATCTCCGGATCGGTCTACCACCTTCTTCGAAATAGATACATGCCGGTCGTATATGACTCTATTGCTGATATGTCGGGTTTTTTTGTCAGGCATTCAATGTTTAGTTGTGTGCATGTTAGTTATGCAGAGGTTGGGGTTACTCATCATGCTTTATGTCCGTTTGATACTATATTGTAAGTTAAAAAAACATCCTTTATCAAACAAAACAAGTAAAAATGTTTCTATATGCGCAATTTGAGATTTCTTGCGCTCATTGGGTCACTGTCATCAACATATGTCATTTGCGTATTAGAAGATGCGTATTAATGCCTTCATCTACAAAGTAGGCTCTTGCCAAACCAAGTCACATGTAAGACAAACGAGCAAGAAGGCTCGATTGGGAACAATTTATTTGCTGAACTGAAAGCAACTGATACAACCCCTTGGAACTTGGAAGGACAATGGTGTTGCAATAATGGAAGACATTACGAGAGACACCGCGCGCTTTAGGGCTTCACATTATTTTAGCCAACACGACAACGAACGAACGAACGTAGACGAGAGGGACCTTGACGACGGAGACATCACGGTATGAAGCCCGATGGAAGATTCGTGCATGCTGCCGATCGATGACAGACGACGATGGAGATCGCCGATCACTCGAAGGTGCCGGGGTGCTCGTGCTGCATCTTGACCACCTGCTGCCACGAGGGGCGGCTGGAGATGGCGTCGTACCACCTGGCCACGTGCCTCTTGGAGGTGAAGAGCTTCCGGCCCCGCTGGGAGCCGGCGATGTAGTGGGAGGCCGGCAGGTGGGAGAGGTCGGCGAGCGTGAACTCGTCGCCGGCGAGGTACTGGTTTTTGGCGAGGATCTCGTCGTAGACTCCGATCATCTGCTGCAGCTTCCGCTCGTTCTCCGCGATGCGGGCCTCGTCGGGGAGCATGTTGAGCTGCGGCGCGAAGGCCAGGTGGAAGACGAGCTCCGAGCTCGGCGCGTCGAAGCTCTGGGCCTCTGCCTGCAGCCACTGCTCTATGGACGCCCGCTCCAGCGACCCCGTGCCGTAGATCCCGCGGTTGCCGTCCTCCGGGAACTGGGTGCACAGGTACCGGCATATCGCCCTTGAATCTGCCACGGGAAGAGAAGAGAAGAACCACATTGTGTAATTACATTCTCCGATCAAGTGGCCGGTGTGCTGTTTTGTTCAGAATTGAACTCCGCTTCTTACCAACAAGGGTCTTGTCACCATGCTTGAAGGTCACCTGCCCGGTAGGATCCTGCAGACCGAGACGACAGGCGATCCACAACGGTGAGAGTGAGATTATACATGATCAAACCCAAATTAGCTGATTAAGAAAGTGCACCATGGATTGCAATGGCAGGGATGATATATACGCACCCTTAGCTTGATGAACTCGGGCAGCTTGTGCTCCCTCTTGAAGGTGTCGATGCGGACGAGCTCGAACTCGAGGTTCTTCTCGAAGAGGCAGGTGAGCACCCTGGCCACGTCCGTCGACGCCGGCTGCCCGAACACCTGGAGACCGGCCGCCATTGCTTCAAATTTCTTGGTGAGAGACCGATCTCTGGCTTCGATCGATGTGCAGGCCGGTGATCAGTGAGCGAGTGAGTGAAGCGACTGGCTGCTGATGGAGACCATAGGATCCATGGCCAGGCGTTTTATAGCTAGCGATGAGCCAGCAAATATGCTTGCCTTGCCGCAGAGGATTACCAGCGAAAGCGAAAGCTGCCAAAGGTAAAGAGGAGAGCCCATACGGCCGGCAGGATTCTTTTGGAGGTGCCATGCATCTTGTCTCCAGCAAGGAACAAGAACACCCATCTCATTGATGTTCTCCAGGGTGACCGTCGATCCTTTAGCGGATGTGGCACGTAACCAGCACGAAAGACGCTCATGAGGTCGGGTTAGATTAGATGTATGGCAAAGCATTGGGGCTATAAGGTAGATCCTCGTACGGGCACGAGTGCCTGCCAAGCAAGGGATCAAGGCCTGCAAACTAATTGGCCGCGGAAGATGCGTCGCCGGACAAACCAAGGCTTTTTGGTCGATCCAACCAGGCAGTGTCTTCAGGAAGGTGCGTGCTTTGGGTTAAAAATTACACTGATTCGATCTGCCGGGGCGCGCGTGCCTTTGCTTGTGAGGTGGTTGCGATACAAATTCAGGTGGATCTGCATGCTTAACAGTAGATTTATATCCCAACCAAGAATACTTACTAGCGACAATTAATATCGGACGGAGGGGG